AAGTTAGCATCCGGAAGAGTATAAAACCATAAAACACAAGGCAGGAGGCAAGTGAGAATGCTAGGAGAGGGGCAAGTGGTTCTAAGAAAAGACGCATTAGAAGAATGCAAGGCATTTTAAAGAACTGATGAGAAGGTCAGGCTGGAGCATATGTCAGGGCAGTCTCGGTCTCCAGAGATGGAAAAGGCTGTAGGCTTTTTATGCAGACAACAACAAGAAGAAGAAATTCTCTTTAGTTGATCATCTTATCTAAAATTTGTACATCTTCAAAAGTCTTGTCAATTACTACCTCCATTATAAACATTCTGTGATAGCCCCAGCTTATTATTTCTCAGCTGGATCATAATGATGTTGTTATTGTTAAAGTGCCGTCCGTGGACACAGTCTCTTAGTTGGTTTACCAGCCTCTACTCTGTCCTTTCCAAATTGTCCTGCTGAAATGATGTCCCTTAAAAATAGCATTGCTCTGTTCAAACCCTCCCAATCGCTACTCAGTGGCTACATAATAAAATACACATTTCTTAGTCTGGCTCTACTAGTCTAGATTTGCTCTCTATAAACTCTACAATTCTACCAAAGCCAACTTTCTGGGGCTTTATTTCAACCTTTCCCACTGTCTCAGATTCCAGTATTACCCGTTTCTTTCTAACTTGATGACAATTATTTGTGTCTTTCCTCTGGATTGGGCTATAAACTTTCTGAAGTCAGGGATTGCAATTTCAGTCCAGAGCAATTAAATGTATATCATACTCAATGAAGATCAACTATATCCCAGACACCATGCAAGGTGTTAGGAGAAGAGAGATGAATAAGACATACACCTTAGGATCTCACAGCCCAGAGTGGGAGACACATATTAATAAATAATCATGATTCAAAGCACTACATGAAACTGCTGGAGCATATCCGAGGGACAGATGTAGCACAGAAGAGGACGCAGGCTCTATCTTTGCAAACAGGGCTGCAGGTAGATTGCTTCTAAAGAGAAAGAAAACTGCCAGACAGCCAAGGGGCCAGGATGAAATGGTTGAGAGGAGAGATAGCATGTTCCACTTAGGACAATTTCAAAATGTAGGGGTTTCTGTGGTGGGGGAAGAGGTCACAAATTTGCCTTGAAGGTAGGTAGGGTGAACATCATTGACAGCCCTGCAAAACATGACATCAAAACCCAAATCAACTCACTGCTGTTGAGTTGATTCTGACTTATAGTGACCCTATGATGTTGTTGTTAAGTGCTGTGGAGTGTCAAGTTGGTTTTGACTCATAGCGACTCTGCAAAGGGTTTCTGAGGAGTAGCTGGTGGGTTTGAATCGGTGACTTTGTGTTTAGCAGTTCAGTGCCTATCCTACAGTGCCACACCAGGAGTCCATAATGACCCTATGCTGTTGTTGTTAAGTGCCATTGAACTGGTACCAACTCAGAGTCACCCTGTATAGGGTTTCCCAGGAGTGGCTGGTGAGCTTGAACCACAGACCTTGCGGTTCAAAGCAACCTTGCAGTCCAGTGTATTAACCCACAGCGCCACACCAGGACTCTATAGGACAGAGTATAATGACCCTAGGGTTTCCAAGACTGTACATCTTTATTAAAGCAGACTGTTATACTGTTCTCCTATGGAGCAGCTGATGGGTTGGAATTGCCAACCTTTCTTTTAGCAGCTGAGTGCTTAACCACTATGCCACCAGAACTTCATTGCCATCAAATTCATTCTGATTTACAGTGACTCTATTGGACAGAGTAGAACTGTGCTATAAGATTTCCAAGGCTAGAAATCTTTATGGAAGCAGACTTTCACAACTTTCTCCTGTGGAGTGGCTGGTGGGTTTGAACTGCTGACATTTTGGCTAGCAGTGTAGTGCTTAATCACTGTGCTACCAAAACATAAGGAGATCAAAAACCAAATGTTATTTAACATCTCTTCCACAGCAATTACTGGTTGTTCTTCAAAACAGTTGTTACTATCCAGCTTTCACTGTGTAATTTTTGTCTCCAACTAGAGTCTAAACTTCTAGAAGGAAGAGCTCATGTGTACATCTCTTGACTCTCTCAAAGCCCTCTAAGCAGTGGCTATCAAAGAGGGGGAGTTTTAGTAATTTTTAAATTTGATAATCCAAACTCATCCTGACAGTTGTACACTCCATGCTTAAAGGGAATTCTAAACATCTGTTAGAAGAATTAACCAGTGCTGAGTCAACACAAAAATTGAAAGGACCAGCGTGTTTTGTGGAAATGTTCTGGATAAGTGATTTTGCCTCTAGAACAATTTTACTTGCTGTTAAAAAAGCAATTTAATGTGATTTGTTTCTAAATGTCATATTTTAGCATATTTATGGTTGGCAATAACTGAGTAACCAACAGAAAATAACAACTATGGATTTTCAACTCTGTTAATTAAATTTGCCTCTAAGAATTGCTTATACAGTTAATCAATGGGTGACACGTCCCTTCAGACTGTCTAACAGGTCTCTCCAACTCCTGCTGGGCAGGACAGTCAGCTGTGTCCTGGAATGACATCTCTTCCAAATGGAGTGAGTGTGGTGTGATGGCAAATGGTGGCTGAGCCAAAGGAATGGAGGCCAATGCAAAGAGAAGTTGGCCTCCATTCCAGGGGAACTGTGTTTTTTGGATTTTTTGCAGAAACGAGAGGTGTGTGTGAGTGTGATTATAAAATAAACCAAGGCCACAAGGGATGAGCATAGCCTCTATCATAGGATCCAGAATATCCTTGCCAGTTCTGTGAGGAGAAACAAAAAGTGAGCCTTTCTTCCTCAGTTGAGAAAAGATGAAAAAATAAAGGGAAAATGTTGTTGTTGTTAAGTGCTGCTGTATGTACTGACTCATGTTATTGTTGTTGTTAGGAGCCATTGAGTTGGTACCGACTCTTAGTGACCCTATGCACAACAGAACGATACACTGACTGTTCTTGAGCCAACCTCACAATCGTTGCTACATTTGAGCCCATAGATGCTGCCACTGTGCCAATCCAACTCACTGGGGGGATCTTCTACTTTTTCTCCAACCCTCCATTTTACCAAACATGATATCCTTCTCCAGTGACTGGTCCCTCCTGACAATATGTCCAAAGTATGAAAGACCAAGTGTAGTCATCCTGGCTTCCAAGGAGCACTCCGGTTGTATTTCTTCCAACACAGATCTACTTGTTCTTTTACCAGTCCATGGTATTTCAATATTCTCTTTCAACAGTGTAACTCAAATGCATCCATTCTTCTACCAACTTATTCCGTGCATATGAGGTTATTGAGAGTATCATGGCTTGTGTCAGGCACACCTTAGTTTTCAAACTTACATCTTTACTCTGACCTCTAGTGACCCTGTATAGGGTTTCCAAGGAGTGGCTTGTGGGTTTGAACCACCAGCCTTGTGGTTAGTAATCTACATCTTACCCTACAATGTCACATCAGGACTAAATATAGGTATAAACATGAAAAAGGGAAGATTCAGAGAGACCTGCAAAGACTTTCATGTAGACAAGAGAAAGGCTGCACAAAATAGGATAAAAGAAAAGATGACAAAGAGAACAAAGTGTAAATCCTAAAGTCAAATTTTCTAAAGTTTCTCTGCAAAATTATTTTGAGTCCTGATTCTTTTGTAGAGATGCTAGCCCATGCTATCATTGTTGCTAAGCGCTGTCAAGTCAGTCCCAACTCATGGTGACCCTGAAGAAGGTTTCTGAAGAGCAGTTAGTGGGTTTGAACAGCCAACCTTGTGGTGTGCAGGATAGTGCTTATCCTACACCAGTAGTCTCTGTTGTCATCTTAAACTCCCTCTTTTATTTATTAAAGGGAAGAGAGTAATGAAGTACAAAATATTCTATGTTGCCAACATTAATTCCTGAATGTCATTTCTCATAATTTCATACTTTCAGCCTCGGGAGAGCTATGAATCAACTGTCTGGCTGTAGATACTGCTTGCTCTGGAGATGAAAAGAACCAAGAAAGAGTTACCAAAGGGACAGTTAATGAGGTTACAATAGATAGACAAAGTGTATGCAGTCTATGTAGAGAGATAATTAGAGAAAACAAATCTATGTTGGAAGAAATACAGTCAGAATGCATTCTCTTAGAGGTCAGGTTGGTAAGACTGTCTCTCATACTTCAGCCATATTGTCAGGAGGGACCCATCTCAGGAGAAGGACATCATGCTGGGTTAAGTGCAGGGTCAGTGAAAAAGATGAAGAACTCCAATGAAATGGACTGGCATCATGGCAGCAGCAAAGGGTTCAAACATAACAATGACTGTGAGGTTCTGAAGGTCCAGGAAGTGTTTCATTCTGTTGTGCATAAGGTCTCTGTGAGTCAGAACTGCCTTGATGGCACCTAACAACAACAACAACATGTTCTGTGAAAAATCTGAATCGCAAAAGTCAATATACCTGATGTGGTGCTAAGGTTAAGCACTAAGGGTAGCTAGGAGTTGGAACCAACAACATACAGTATACAAGAAGCCCTGGTAGTGTAGTGGATTACAAATGGTGCGTCTAACAGCAAGGTCAGCAGTTCGAATCTACCAGTAGCTCCCTTGGAGAAAGTTGAGACCTTCTGCTTCTGTAAAGGTTTACAGCCTTGAAAACATTATACAGGGTCGCTATGAGTTGGAACTGACTTGTTGGTACACAACCACCACCATCACCTCTACCACCACCAAACACGACCTTATATTTAATCATATTCCTTGTCCTTTGGGTTTGGAGGCCTAGCCCACCTCCTTACTTGCTTACTTTAGACCTATCACCAGGAAAGACCAATTGCTAGAATTGGTTGGTCATGTAAAGGGTCAGTGAAAACAAGGGACGCTGTCAATGAAATGACTTGACACAATAGCTACAACATACAAGCGATCATGAAGATGGCTTGGGAACAGGTAATGTTTCATTTTGTTATACGTTAAGATTACCTTGAGTTGGCGCCAACTCACCAGCAAATAACTATCACACAACAAAAACCCCCTCCTAATCTACATCCAAAACGCCATCCTCTTACATCAGCCTGGGTATGTCGCTGACCGCCACTGTCCCATCATGAGTCTCGCTCTCCCCGTCTTCCTCCTCCTCTTCACTACTTTCTGACTCCTCACTGGATGAGGAATAATCAGTCACCTTCTTCAGGGGACGATTTGTTTCTTCAATGCGAAGTTCTCTTAATTCTTTGGCTAATGCCGTCAGATCCTACAAAAGAAAAGTTTCTTCAGCACATAAATTGTAGACAGGACCAAAGCGACATTTCTCAGAAAGTCAGTGCTCCAGCTTAAGCAACGAGAAAAAAAATCAAAATCAAAAAGCTCTATCTAGAAATGTTACAAAAATAGTTACTGCATGGAACTAAGAAAAAGATGTTTGTAGCGCATAGAAACTAGAAAAGAAAGATGAAATCAATTTAAACATTGTTCAAAACCAATAGCTAGACCGAGACTGTTCAGTTCTGAATATATATGTGTATATATGTGCAAGGGTGTTGTGTATGTACACATATATACATTCACTGAGGTCCCATTTTATTTTGGGAAGGTGAAGCTGGTCACCCTCAGAGTTAGGAAAAATGCATGGAATTAGAAATTGTTCCCCAGTATTTTGGGACTTCTGCCCATGCCACAGTGATGGCCTTTCTTCTACTATACCCAAATCCAGCATCAGTCACAGAACAGAGCAATTCCCAAGGTCCCAGCTACGAAAATGACTCATTTGGCGTATCATCATTCCCTGGAGAGCAATAACACCATATCAAATGATGGCCCACCCCAAAGCCCAGTGCCACTACAATTGATAGCCACAGAGCTGAATTAATCAAGAGAAACAAATGAACAAAAATAAACAAAAAGGAAGTTCTCTTCCAGAATGATGGGTGTTTCATTTTCTTTTGTTTGAAATTCCAGTCACCTGGCAGAAACCCTGACTAAGAGCACTGAAATGAATGTGCAAACACTAAAAGAAAGAGATAATTTTCCAGTTTTTCCATGAGCATGATGAAACCTGATGTGATGTGATGATGTGTGATGTGGAATTTAATCACCAGGCATGTTGCAGGCAGTGGGTTGAATATCTGACTACCTTTTATTTTACATGCTTTCAGAGCAATGCAGAGGGAAGCAATTCTGCAAAAGCATGGCTCTAGTTCACATGGGTTAAACTGCCCATGGCGCACAGCATGCAAATGAGGAAGAAGCAATTCGACATCAGTCTTACCATTTCTCCCTATATTAGTGACCCATGTGGGAATCAGAGCATTCAGTGAGAGACGGGATCGGGGAGAAAGAAACTTATTGAAAAATACTAAGAAACATTTTCCTATCTATGCTAACAAAAAGAGAATTGTTTTTAAAAATGCTTAACTGGTATTTAAATATAATATATATTATTATAGAAGAGGAAGGTTACTACATAGATAGAATTTCATGCATATTTAGTTATTTATTTTGAAAGAAATGGGCCAAAACAAGAAAAGCTATTATCTGAATTTGGGGTCCTGGCATGACACTGAAGGATAAGCACTGGAATGTTAACCTCAAGGTCAGCAGTTCAAATTCACGAGTCGCTCCTCAGAAACATTATACAGCAATGCTATGAATTGGAACAGACTCAATGGCACTTAACCACTACGCTACCAGTCAGCAGTTTGAAACTACCAGCTGCTCCACGGGAGAAAGATGAGGCTTTCTGCTCCCGTAAAGATTTACAGCCTCGGAAACCCTGTACAGGGTTGCTATGGGTCGGAACCGACTCGAGGGCACTTAACAACAACAACAACAACAATAATGGCACTTAACCAACCAACCAACCAATATCTGAATTGAAGTTTTTTACTTTTTATTTTCTCTTAACAATTGCCAATGTTTATTGGAATTCTGGTGTGGTGCTGCAGGATACTGCATTAGACCGCAAGGTCAATGGATCAAATCCACTAGCAACTACATGGAAGCTCTATACAGGACAGCTATGAGTTGGAACTGACTGGAAGACACTTAACAACAATGACAACATTGTTATCAAATGGAGAAGAAACAGAATAATATGCTGTAATTAGCCATATTGGGAAAATACAGTACAAGTATTTGTTGAGGTCTTGAAAGGAAAAGGGTATTAAAATTCTCTGAACCAGTAAAATAGCATATTAGATCAATTTATTTTTTATTTTAACTTTTGCCTATTTAAAAAGCCATGTTAAAACTCATCAAAGATTATAACTAGTATTTAAAATGTTATTAGCTAAAAAATACATTTCACTACAAATTAAAGAGATAATGATTTAAAAGCCTTCATTTCCAATGTCAATAATTTTGTGAGTCAAATATAATAAGACTAGCTAGGATTTATTTAAATTCAGGATACATTTCCCCCCCCTCACTTGGATTTCCTTATCCCTGATATTTCAAAACAAGAAAAAAAGATATTTATGTAGAAAAAAACTATTTAGAAATGCTTAGCAGGTCCAAAGTCTACTGATTTAAAGAAACTCTTACTTGTTAACATGACTTAAAATTTTCTAAACACTGTATTTAGAAACACTTTAAAGTTATGACCTACTTTATAATTTCATTTTTAATTAGAATTTCTTTCTGTTTCTGTGTTATTAAAAAAAGCTATCTCTACTGAAACATCAGACATAATTGCAAATTTCTTTTACATTTAATTGGTAATAGCTTGCAGGGTAAGACATATATGAAAATCCCAAGGTAATAATAATGAGTAACTTAAAAGTAATATTCTCAAAGAAAATAAATCTTCCATTTCAAATGTTTAGCTGAAGTTTTCTTTTTGATCCATCTACTTTGTAATAATTTATAACAACAAAGTTATAGGAAACAGACATGGTCTAAAATTGACACCATCAGGTTTACATTCATTTTCATAAACTGAATTCTCTGATAATACCCATTTCCTTCATATAATGAGTCATTGTGGTAATTTATTGCTTAACTATCTCAAACCTAGAGCTAAAAAGGAGGGATAAAAGCACTACTATTTAGCGTGAGATGTTTGAAGGTGTTTCAAAAAATGTATGGAAAAATGGAATTAATAGGTATTGGAATTTTTCCACAAATTTTTTGAAGCCCCCTTGTATTACTAAAAAAGAAATGCAGCAGAATGGTAAGATTTTTATTTTTTATTTTTACTCCAGAGTAAACCTAAAGGAAGCTAAGAGGCTCTTATATGAAGGCTATTCTGATAGAACGCTCTAGAATTAGCTTGATACTATTTTTCAATTAAAAAAACATATTTAATCTGATAATTATGAAACCTTGCCCAAACAGGTATTTTCAGTTCTCTTTTAAAACAATATAGTATATTCAAATTTGAACAATAATTTATTCAAATTATTAAATGCAGTCTTTGTGTATTACAGAGAGTTGGTTTATTTTAGGAAACCTACAGATATCATGGATTAAGTCACTTAACTTCAGTATCGTCATCTGAGAAACAATGGATTTGGACTACTTCTATTGCTGAAGCTCCATCCAATCTCTGGATGTGCTATGGGAGGCTTCAGATTCTTACTTGAGTCAAGAACAATGCTAAAGCCAATGTTTGCTTATGCAGACAATCTCCATGCCACACATTGGATTTTGCCAAAGTGAAAAAATAGATATTATTTTTAAAAGATGGATTAAATAATCACAGACTATGCTGTAAAATTTCTTCTATTCTCTTAGGAAGTAATGCCAAGTTAGTGGAAACTCTCGCAGATAAAAAAGGAAGCCCTTAAATTAACAATAACAAGCAACACTTTTTCAAAAATGAGTTTTAAGCCTTTCATTTCCATCGTGGGTTAGCAAAATGCCAAAACAAGTCATTGGAAAGGAAGCCATCTCAAACCTGGGGATGGAGCTGGCACGAAGGTTTAGTTCAGGGTTTCTAAGCTGTGACTTTATTGGCATGTTAGGCTGGATAATTATTTTGGGGGCAGGGGGTAACCTATGCAATGTAGGATGTTTAGCAGCATCCCTCTGCTCGCTCTACCTGTTAGATGTCAGTAGCTAGCACCACTTCTCCTAGGTTGTGACCACCAAAACTGTCTACACATTGCTGAATGTGTAGACAAAGGGAGAAGAAGGGAATTCATCCTGGTGGAGAGCCACTGTGTTAGGTAGAACCAAACCATCTTGTATTGCAGTGGTTCAGACCAGTGACATGCAAGGAACAGGTTTACCAGAGGTTCCGGGAGGCTTCTTCAAAAAGCATCTGCCCCAGGTACTTGGTGTCTCATCACTCTATCTCCGTCACTTATAATGACTCACACACTTCTGCTTCCCCTCATCTCAGCCCACTGGGTTGAAGTCTCCAAAATACCCAAACAAAGCCATTGTTTTAAAACACCTACAAAGTCCTGTATTAACTAAATAAAATCCACAAGAACTTTTCCTCTCATGGTAACCACCTCCAAGGCAATCTATGGGTGCAGGAGATTCTACTTGTACCCACACAACCGTAACACCAAACCATTTTTCTTGCTCTTCATCTCATTTGGGGGAAAACTGACAAATATTGTCCTTCTCATTATTAAGAGGGAAAGGGGCAAGTGGGGGCACAGAGCAGTTGGAAGACATCTTCCTTTTCCTCTTCTATTAATGCTATCCACATATTGTAGACATATAGTCTTATATGACCCGACGGCACTTAACAACAACAACAAGTCTTATGTTTTATCAGCAATAATCTTTTTATCACTCTAGGATGAGGTGCTCATAATTCTGAAAAAGTGATGCTCTTGGGTGAAGATGAGATGCACAGAATCATGCTTCTCCCACCTGCCACAATAGCTTCCTCCATGCCTCGGGCCTGAACCTTAGCCATGATGACAACCTCTTGGGCTCTTGTAACAGTTTACACTTTAAAATGCTTCCATTTATTACACATGACTAAGAGGGATCCCAAACAATTCTGTGAGTGAGGCAGGCCAGGTGTTTTTATCCCCATTTCACAGATGTGGATGCTGGCCCAGAGGGATTCAGTGGCTTGTTTCCACCAGTGATTCATTTGGGATCCAGGTTTTGAAGACAGCTTGCTGGCCCCCAAGCCAGTGCTTTTTCCATCTCATTTCATAAAAGTGGTGCTCAGCAGAGCTTCAGCCTTAAAGTCATAATGGCAATCTCCAAATTACATGCACTAAGACTCTTTGCAAGGTCTGACTCTTAAAGTTAAAAAAAAAAAAAAATTATAAAAAATCTCTGATCCTGTATTCAGGCAGGTCTGACAAACAGCGGGAGGCAGCCATCCTTCTTAGCAAACTATCTACAATTGACAAAGTCATATATTTTTCTAATGGAAAAACGTCTCCACGGCTAAGGAAATAAAGTCACTTAACTCGCCAGGATTCATTAACTAAAGTCGATGCTGCTGCTGCTGCTGTTGTTAATGTCCCACAAAATTAATCTAACAATACCCAGTAACTCCTTGTTCACAAATCACACACTATAAATTTGGAGTGCCCAGAATGATGTCTCTTTCTTTGTTAGTAAAATCCCTCAGAACCATCGCCTAGCAAGGTGGTTGAGCACAGGTTAAGAGTTTAGCCTTTGTTATTGGAGATATGAGAATTAGAAATGATGTACAACGCAGCACTAGTGTTTGTTGTTAGACAGACTGGAACAATGGAAGAGTGAAGTTTGGGCTCAGAAGGAAGGTCTCTGAGGTATCATAAGGGTGTCTGAGATCTTGGGCTGCCTTCTAATGGAGGGGCTGTCCTCCCAGCAGATTGCTCCAGTTAAGTGAGGTTTAATCTGCAATCCCATTGGTCGCCATTTTGTATGTCAACATTAGGAATTCAGTTTTATATTTACGTCACATAAAAACATGAGAAAAAAAAAAGGACTACTAACCTCATCTATAGCTTTCTTATAGCTCTGAGATAAGAAGAACCCAATCCAGAGGAATCCAGAGGAGGAAAAAGCCAGAAGAAAGGCAATCAGGTTAGACACAAACTTGGAATTGTTAGTACAAAAGCAATACACAAAAGGGCCAAGAGAAAATCCACCTAAGATGATGTAAATTATCTTCATTATCACTTTCAGTATATATATATACATATATTTACTTTAAAACATAAATAACACATAAATAAAAAAGACTTAGCATTCATTTTAGAGAAAAGGTTCTCACATAATTGTTGATAAAATAAATAAGCATATAGTAATTTATCTTAAATTGTCAACTTTCAACTTTCAGCCTCTAGACTATTTATTTATTTATTTTGAAGACTACGTGGAAGCGGAGCTGGATTTTAAGTGGTCTGGCTCCATTCAAACCCTGCTTGTCAGGTTTGAGCCCAAAAAAGAAAGTCCTGGAGGCTTGCAAGGGGGCAGAGAAATAATAATATTAATTTATCTGGAAATAATATGGAAAAAGAAGAGTAACAAATACATAGCACTCAGGTCTCCTTAACCACTAGTTTCAACATCTTTTTGCCACAGCTGACAAGTAGAAATTACGGAATGATGGAAGTTATTTCTCATCCTGTTTTATTTTCTAAGGAATGCTGATGACCAGAAAAATAAAACATAGATAACAGGAAGAGGGGCATTCCAAAGACTGTTCGGTTGTTTCCTAACCAGGTATGACTTTCCTCTGGACTTCTTATTAATCTGTTCTTATTAATCAACATGATCCCCCCAAATAATGAGTGTGTCCCCAACTACTTTACACTGTAGGTTCTCTGGTAAATTAAAGGAGTTCAGAACCATTAAGTGAGAAAAGCACTCACAGCTGGTCGACTAGGTCGGGTGATGTCCCGGGATTCTTCTGGTTTCACCTTGGAAGGTTCGTGGGGGAGCACAGGTGACCCTTCTGACTTACTGTTGGCTAGAGAGAAAAAACAGAAGGCCAATCGATGGTCAAGAAAGTGCTGGCACAAATTCTGTAGCTGTGTGTGAGTCAGGGTTCAGCAGGTACGTCATTTGCTGAGGCAAATCCCTGAGCACTTCCATGAAATCATCCTAAATGTTCCAACAAAACCAGGCAAATACATTTAGGCTTATAACCTGGAAGTCACGACTAAGAAGAAGAAAAAGTGTAGCAACCTCCAACCTGTATTACCACCATTTACTGAGCACCAATCGTGTGTCAGGCAGAGCCATAAGCTTTCCACGTTAGTTGTCTCATGTAGTCCTCACTCATCCGGTAACTTGGTGCTCTGTTCCTGTTTATAGTTGAATACAGGCTTGGATGATGCAAGCAGTTTAAGGTCTTGATAAAAATGCAGGCAGAACTGAGAAGTCTCGAAGTTTAGTCTCTATCATAATGTTAAACCGGAATTCAAGTTATAGCTCTACACTTGATTTCTTCTTTACCATCAAGACAGGCTATTTAGAAGAAATTCTATATAAGCATTCAAATCTATTCCATGAATTGGAATAAATTTAAAAAGGGGGAAAGGTTTTTCAGAACTTTTTTATTGAAGAAAGAATGGGGTGGGGGCAGAAGGGACTGTGTTGGTGATAAAGGAGAAAGGCAGTAAAAATTAGGTATAGAACAAAGATGGAGGGGATTCCCCTATGGCTAAAGAGTACATTCCTCCATTAAATTAGCTTAAAGAAGTCCTTGGGTACTGCAGACAGTTAATGCATTTAGATAATAAGCTAAAGGTTAAAAAAAAAAATTGAGTCCTCTCATAGGTGCCTCAAAAGAAAGTGCTGGTGATCTACTTCCAAAAAACCAGCCATTGAAACCCTATGGAGCACAGTTCTACTCTTACACACACGGGGTCTCCATGAATCAGAATCTACCTAGTGGCTTATTTTGATTACAGGTAGAGAAGAAGTCACCTAGTGTAAGGGAGACTTTGTTTTATTCCAAAGTGGTCTTTCAGGGTGTACCAGGGACATGAGAACACTTTTCAGCCCAGAAAAACTAGGGGTCAAATGAAAAAAGAATTGAATTAATCTACAGATCAGAAAATTAAAATTATATGTATGAATTTCCCTTCAACATCATTCTAATTTGTTGTTGTTAAGTGCCATTGAGTCAATTCCAACCCATAGCAACCCTGTATATGGTTTCCTAGGAGCGGCTGGTGAGTTTGAACTGGTGACTTAGTGGTTCAAACCGACCTTTGTGCCCAGTGCTTATCCTACAGTGCCACAACAAGACATGATATTAATTTGCTTTTGAAAAGAAAAAGTGAAAGAAATGGGCTGTTCTCTAGATTAAAATATGTATATTTCGATCAAGGTAACACAGATAAACAAGGGGGTTTCAAAAAGTTCATGGACAGATGGAATCAAAAGATAATGGAATTTTTCCACAAATGGTTTGAAGCCCCTTTATGTGCACAGCTGTGGGCTGTTCTACTGTCATAAGAAGGCATATCAGGGCAGCCTCTGGTCAGTCCCTTATCCCAATTCAGAGTCAAGAACAACACAAGTCAGATGTCAACCTTTTCAAAAATGGACACTCACTGATTTTAAGTATTTAAAACCTTTAGAATGTTAGATAATAAACTATGATTGTGTCTTCTAAAAAGTTAAGGAAGAACAATGAACTGCTGACTTTCACCTGGCAGAATAATTCATAAGTAAATGGATATTTATCAAATGGCACTTTAAAAGTACTGGTCTTTATCACTTTGAAGCAGGAAAAAAAAAAGTCTTCTGAAGAAAGTAATTTAGAGAGTGAATTTTGATTAGCTAGCAACAATGAGTGTGTTCATGTATAATTAGCTGGACAACATTAGGTTTTTCACAGGCATCTTCATTAACGAAAACTAAACAATGATGAATGACTTAAATTAAATGGTTAGAGTGGCTAATTTTTACCTCTCTAAACAGGAATAACCAGAAGACTAAAATATAAATTTTTTAATTTTATATTTAATTTAATTTCTTGCCTCAGTATATTTATTCTATGTTATTGGTGGTGGTGGTTATGCGCTGTGGAGTCAGTTCTGACTTACAGCAACCCTGTATAGGGTTTCCAAGGCTATAAATCTTTATGGGAGCAGAAAGCCTCATCTTTCTCCCATATTCTATTAGTCTTTATGAAATTTCATCTTAAGGATTATGTAGTACAATGAACTATGTTCAGAATGTTCAAAGGGACCACAGGTCCATTGGTAACAGGGTACCCATTATTGTTATTACATGCCATAGAGTCAGTTCTTACTTATAATGGCCCTGTATACGGTTTCTCAGGAGCAGCTGGAGGGTTTGAACAGCTGATCTTGTGGTGAGCAGTCTACAGTTTACCCTACAGCACCACACCAGGACTCCAACAGGGTACCAGGAGTACATGAAATTCTAATGGGGCAATCAGATGGAAATGAAGGTTGAGGTGATGGATGCATTGGTTAAGTGCTTGGCTGCTAACAGAAAGCTCTGTGATTCAAATCTGCCAACCTCACTGTGGGAGAAAGGTATGGCAGTCAGCTTCTGTGATACAATATGTGTCAGCTCTACTTGTCCTACAAGGTTGCTATGAGTTAGAATCACCTTGATGGCAATGGGTTTGATGGATTGAATAAGTGATTATGTTTTCAAGTATGGTGAATATAAGGAGTTCTGGTAGTGTAGTGGATACCAATAGAGTTGAGCTGATAACCTCAAATTCAGAAGTTCAAAACTACCAACAGTTCCATGGACGAAAGATGAGGCTTTCTGCTCCCATAAATACTTAATGCCTCAGAAGCCGTATACAGGGTCGCTGTGAGTCGGAACAGACTCCTTGACACATAACCACCACCACTAAGATGAATATTCTGTGATTTAATTGATCTCTTTGGGAAACAGTGGGTTCTATAATTAGGAAGAATAAAGTCCACACTCTGACATCACACATGATTGGGAATGGTGGCCCACTTCTCTGAGAAGTCCAAGACAGAGAACAGTTGAAGGGGCTTCTTTAATATCCCAGATGGTGGTCATGCCAGGGCCACAACTCAGAAAATAATCTCATCCTTATGCTTGGCTCTGCTACCTAGAAATACTATTGATCAAAAGCTAAGAGAAAGCTTTACCTCGAACTCTGGTCCGTTCACTGGAACCTGCTTGCGATCCGGGCTGGGAGCCTCCTTGAGAACTGGGCTGAGAGCTGGGAGTGCTTGAGCTGGAGGAGCTACCACTGCTGGTCCTCTGCAAGGGGCTCTCCAAGATGGGCTCGGTTCTCCGGAGGTCAGGGTTGCTGCACGGACAGCACAGTACACTGATTACACTCCCAAGAGCTTGCCATTGGCAGATGCAAACATCACGGAGTACCCACTCCAGGGCACAGTAATAATGGGAGCAGTTAGAAGACCCTGGCACTGAAGGGATCAGTAAGAGAGTCAAGTCTTTCTACATGGAGCTCCACGCTAGATACGGGTCTGGGCAGGATGCACTCAGGATCCAATCCTTGCACCAGTAAATTAGAAGTATTAGCTCTGAAAGGGGGAGTTGACAAAGGGAGACTTTCTCTTAAACCTTTTTGTTCTCTTTTCTTTTTGAGCTTATTGTGAAAATCTTGAAAAATATTCAAAGGAAACATAAGGAAGCAATATTCACCATTTCTGAACCAGGAGATGTTGTTGTTAAGTACCTTTGAGTCAGTTCCAAGTCATAGTGACCCCATATAGGGTTTCCAAGGAGGAGCTGGTACATTTGAACCTATGATCTTGCAGTTCAAACCGACCATGCAGTCCAGAGCATTAACCAGGACCAGGAGATAGTAAGTTATATTTTACAAATTTGGTATGTTATAGTCTATATAGTTTCTAAAATTTTTTAGATGGAATCAAACTCTGTACTGTTTGTCTCTTGCTCCACCCCCTCCCTAACACAGCATTGTGAGCATTTTTTTTTTCTAAACACAATAATGCTGGAATCGCAATCCATTACTCTATGGTTAAATAGCATGATCCTTCCAATACATTGCTCTAACACATCAGAGGGAGACAACCATCTATATGCACACAAATACTCTATCACATCTTTATTTCTTTAGGCTAGGGCCCTGCAATTGGACATAATAGGTATGTGAGTATAAAGGTATTACTATTTTCACTGAAGTATATGAAATGGTAGATCTCATTGAATTTGACTTTCATTTTGGGCAATTTTCTAATCGGTATAACGTGTATCTTGTTATTTAATGCAATTAAGAAATTACTATTGATGTAGGATATTTTTGTTCACATTTATTTGGCATTTATAACTCCATTGCTATGAACTGCTTAATCATGTTCTTTGCTCATACAGAGAGTAGAATACTTACATTTTTTATTACTTTCTTGTAGGACGTCTATAGATACTTGGGCTATTAACAAAGAGCAGTGTGATTTTTGATAATTATCACGAAGTGCTAATTCAAGAGCAAAATTAGCTGGCAGGCTAGTAGCTACTACTTTTCATAAGACTTTTCTATATTATTAGTCTTAGTATCTTTACGTCTTACCAAATAGTAGTATTTGTTCATTCATTTCATTGTTCTATTTCAGGAACTGGGTCTGGCATTGGGCATACAATGATCACCAGGAGACAGTCCTGTCCTCTCATAGCTCAGTCAGACACACACAGCCAACTTCATACATACTTTGCTGGCAGTAAGTGCAAGGCAGTCTGGGAACAAGTGTCAGGTAACCACTTTAGGTAGTTAGGGATGTGGCCCCAGAGGAGGAGACAGCTAAGCAAAGATTGCAATGAGAAGTTAGAGAAATGATAGTGGCAGTGGTGGCAGTTTCTAAGATTTTGTTAGGAGCGAAAAAAAAAAATGGCAACATTCTCAGAGCTTCTATAAAGTTCTTTCTTTTACAATACATCTTTCCATTTCCCCCTGACATTTATATAATGCTGGGTATAAATAATTTTGTGAGTCCTGAAATTCAAAGCCCAGTTCTACTGCCATTCAGCGACTGAAGGGAGAAGCCGATCCAACACAGGATCCCTCCATGTTTCAGCATCTTCAGTGCTCTACACAGAATTCCACATCACTGTGGAAATGGTCACCATCGTGAAACTGTTTTTGCTGCTGTAGTTGGAAGGTGCTGTTGAGGTGATGACGATGTACAGTAACCCCATGGGACAGCGCAGAACTGCTCCATGGGGGTGTTCCAGGGTATAATCTTTATAGGAACAGATGGCCAAGTCTCTTCTCCTGTGGAGCCACTAGGTGGGTTTGAACCACTCATATCTTGGTTAGCAGCCAAGCATGTAACTATTGTACCATCACGGCTCTTCACTACTATGATTTTAATGTGGTGAGACATTAAAGCAAGATGTAATTGATGCTTGAATTTTGCCCTGCCGAGCTCAAAGTTATCAAATGTATACCAGACAGTCTGTCCTGTGTTACGCATTAGATGTTTTATACATAAATAGGAAAATTAGATGGTCCTTTCCTGAGAGATACTTGAAGTCTGGTCACAAAAATGGCAGCCTTACAGCAGCCACCAAGTCCAACAATCTCTTTTTGAAAAGGTAAGGATCATGCAGCTGCCAAAAACATTTGGTTGAGAATTTCATTTAAAATTCTTCAAACATTGGATGATTAGGAGACATTCCTGGTGATGCTAGAAAACTTCAGTAGAAAACAGTATATGTGAAAATAAATGTATCTTCATAATTTATTCATTTAAATCATATAAATATAGAATTATTATTTTAGTAAAAATTATCTGCACTTAATTCATTGAACTTGATCTGGATCCAAGGTGGAAATAGGCCTAGGTTTAGAGAATGTCCCTAATAGTAAATGTATGTTGTTGTTATGTGCTATCGAGTCGGTACAGCCTCATAGCGATCCTGTATAGGGTTTCTGAGGAGTGGCTGGTAAGCTTGAACCACTGATCTTGTAATTCAAACCAAATTTGCAGTCCAGTGCATTAACCCACAGCACCACACCTGGACTCCAGTAAATGTATAATACTTCTGAAATAGTCTACATTTTTCATTTTTCATGAAGAAACACTCCCCTTTAATTCCCAAATAATGAATTCTTTACCTCTGCCTCTTTTTTTTTTATTTTTTTTTTTATTAAATAGTAATGGGCAGGGATTATCATGTACAATTACTTAATTCTAAAAATATATTTTTTAATTAAAAAATATATTGCTATTGCTAGCCAACAGTTAATACAGATTAAAAGTGTTGGGCAGATTGAAGTCTCTTGATAATTGCTGTCATTTTGTGGAGTGGTAATTTGATGTTCTCTGTATATAAAAAGCTCTATTGTAATCCTGGTGTGACACTGTAGGATTAGCACTGGACTGCTAGCCATATGTTTAGGTTCTCAAATTTACCAGCTGCTTCTTGGAAACCCCATACAGGGTCACTATGAGTCAGAACTAATTTAGCAACACTTAACAGCAGCATTGTCACCAAACTGCCAAAATTATTTTGAAACAAAGATGAGACTGTAAGAGGGCAAGGAAGCTAGAGGGATGGAAATGGAACAGCCAGAACATAAATGAGAATGTTCCCTCATTATAATGTAATCAAGGTTAGTGTAGGAATTGTTGAATGGGGACCTAAACTGCTGTGTAAACCTTCACCAAAGACACAAGAAAATATTATGTAAAGAAATCTATTATCTGTTGTCTGGGGCACTAGGCCTCTGTTAAGTGTGACTGAAACATTTTGAAACAAAGAGTGCTGAGGGTTGCACAACATGATGAAAGGAATTATATCTGTGTAAGATTTGCATTAGGCAAATCTGCTGCCTAAGACCTCTTTAAAGTGAAGAGCAAAGACGTCAGCTTGAGGACTAAGGTGTGTCTGACCCAAGCCATGGTGTTTTCAATAACTTCATATGCATGCAAAAGTTGGACACTAAAGAGAGCGAGAGGGGCGGTATGCAGACGACCAGGGGGCAGGCTTGCGGGGTATACCCTTTGGTTGATGGATGATGCATGGAAGGGATTGTAACCATGCCAAGGAAACAACATATGATTGGATCAATGTGAAACTGATATCCTCCCATGTAAACTATAACATAATTCACAATAAAGCAAAAAAAAAAAGTTGGACAGTGAATAAAGAAGACTGTAGAAGAATTGAAACATTTGAGTTATGGTGTTGGTGGAGAACACTGAAAGTACCATGGACTGCCAAAAGAACAAACAGATCTGTGTTGGAAGAAGCAATGACAGAATGCTCTTTGGAAGCCAGGATGGCCAGACTTCATCTCTCATACTTCAGACATATTATGAGGAGGGACCAGTCCCTGGAGAAGGACATCATGTTTGATAAAGTGAAGGTCAGAGAGAAAGAGGAAGACCTCTAATGAGACAGACTGGCCTAGTGGCAGCAGCAATGGGCTCAGGTATAGCAACAATTGTGAGGTTGGCCTAGGACTAGACAGGGTTTCGTTCTGTTGTGTATAGGGTTCTATGAGTCAGTAACGACTTGATGGCACCTCTCAACAATGTTGACATAGCACATACATAAAATCTGTTGAGAGAGGGGCTCAGACAGGCTCTGAGTTTTTTTCTTGGTAGTTGTGATGTGGCAGCAGCTTCTAGCTCTGTTCACCATATAACCAAATGCTTTTTATTAAGCACCTGTTTGAGGACACTCACTGTACCAGTATGTGGAATGAGGGAGAAGCAGAGAGATGAAATACACACAGTGGACACAATAGTGAACAAAGCAATATTCTGTTTGCTGTGTATGAAAGAGGCTAAGTATTTTTGGATGCTGCTGAACAAAAATGCAGTCTGGAGTGGCCAAGGGTCATGTTATGAAGGAGACAGGACTTGACTGGGCTTTAGATGGTGTCATAGATTGAACTCTAACCAACAAAAAATGTCAGCATAGTTAGGCCATATTCTCAGTGATTTGGCAGGTAAATCATGATCCCCCTTAATGTGATCTGATGTGATAAAACAATAAAAAGGTGAAATGTTGTTAAATGCTATAGAGTCAGTTCCGACTCTTAGCAACCCTGTATAGGGTTTCTGAGGCCTTAACTCTTCACAAGGGCAGAAAGTCTCATCTTTTACCCATGAAGCAGCCGCTGGGCTTGAAACTTGGACCTTGTAGTTTGCAGACCATTACTCAAAGGTGAGATATAGTACACTTCATCTCTGACCCTGATCCAATGTACAGGAGATTCCCAGGGGTGTGACAGGCAGCACCCTTTATCTTACAGGAGATAAAAGGAGAGAGAAGTGAGTAGAGAACCTACTAATCCTATGAAAGAAGAGCCAG